TGATTCCCCTGCGGAAGCCCCGGGGGCTAGGTGCCTGTGCGCACCCCGGGCCGCCGCCAGGAGTGGCACTGCTCGGGAAGGAGTGAACATCCAGAGGAATCGCGGGGCGGGGTGGGGGGAGGCTAGGAGAACAGGTGGCGCAGGGAAGCAGAAACGTAGTTGCGCAGGACAGCTGGAGTGGGGCAGGGTCGGGGCCAGCGGCTAGCGGAGAAGGGCCTATTCGAGAGGAAGGGCACCTGAGGGAGCGCGGCCGGGGCCGGGACGCTGGGAGCTGGGCGGAGAGCGAGTCTGGGTGGCGAAGGTTGCCGAGGCGGGGGCTGGGCACCTGGGAACAAAGGTGAGGGCGGGTTCCGCAGGTGAGGAGGTTTGAAGAGCCACAGCGGGTAAAGGGAAAAGGAAGTCCACAGCTGGAGAGGACGCGCTCTGGGGGGTAGAAGGAATCCTAGGACGGAAAGAATGAGGTGGGAAACAGTTTTTTCCCAAACTCTCACTACCCCAAAAGAGAAAGACATTTCTTTCTTGCCCTTTATTTGACCCAGTTGAGAATGCAACTGCAAGGTCCCCGGTGAGACAAATACCGCCTTCAACCCTCGTATTCTGTCGTGACTCATCTTGCACGTGACCCCCTCCCTCTTCAAGGTGTGTTGACCGACTAGAGCTTAAGCCTGTCGTCCCACAGAAGGCCCTCCAGGGCCATCCTGGGTCAACACCGCCCCAGTGGGGGAGTCGGGCCTCTTTCGCCCTTGCCACTGGGAAGGGAAGTGATTTGGGGGCGGCAGGTAAGGCCCCGCTCCTTCGCCATCACCTGGGGAAAGGTACCAAGGTTGAGCTGGCGCGCCCGCAGGCCTGTCTGGGCCTCGGGGTAAAGCGGCGCTGGCCCCACCCCCTGCCCCTCCCGCCGTGAGTGGCCTCCCCTGGTCGCCCAGGTGAGCCGCCGGGCCGCGAGCCACCGCCCACCCCGCGTCGGGGCGGGGCCTGGGGGCGGAGCCTGATGCCCCGCCCCGCGGCTGGGCCCTGCCGCGCCGCTGCGGCTCCTCCTCCCTCCTTCCGTCCTCCGCGCCTTCCGTCGGTCTGTCCTTCCTTCCTGCTTCGTCTCCACGCCTCGCGCTATGGGACAGAACCCCCGATCCGCCAGCACCACCTGAGGATCCGGAAACCGCCCCAGCGATGGAAGAGGACCAGGAGCTGGAGAGGTAACGGCCGAGGAGGAGGCGGGCGGAGCGGGCCGCGCCCAAGGGGAGCGGGTGGCCGAGGGGCACGCTGCCCGGCCTGGCAGTCGGGGCCTGACTCGGGGCGCAGAGAAGAATCATGGAGAGAGAGGTGGGGAGGAGACACGAATGTTTCAATTGAGAGACTGAGAGGTGCGCTAGCTATTAAGGAGGGAAGACAAGTTGGGAGACCAGAGTTAAGTATCCGAACTGCCCATCCCCGTTAGAACAGCAGCGTGTAAAATCACGCCCCGGGCCTCTGCTCCCTGAGGACGGTACTGGTGCCTCTGTCCCTGTAACTACGGCTCACGTTCCTTGTATGTACAGTCTGCTCCTAAAGCCACTCATCTGTGCACTGAGCTCTTTTTCTCCCTCCCGCTTGACTCCTGGACCTTCCATTCTCCTAGTTTCCTTCTCTTGCAAAATGGAAGCCGTAGTTGGGCCTGCACATTGATCATCTGTATCCTCTATTTTTATACTAGAGCAATCGGGATTTTTATGCCTTTCAACCCCCTTTTCATCCTCTAGCAGGACCAATCCTATTCTAATCCTATCCCTTGCTTGTGACTCTACCAAAGAATATTTTTGCGAACACTTAAGTTTGTGTTTTTCTAAGAAAACTCCCCTTGTGGCCAGTGTGGATGGTCAGATGGAGCAGGGAAAAACTGGAGGCAATAAATTATTTATTGATAGAGTTTGTGGAGGCAGGAAAATGAGAGGCGAATAATTCTATGTAGCTGGAGTAGATTAATAATAATGCGTTGCAATGTGATATAGTAAATGAAAAAAAGCTAGTTACAAAACAATATTCAGTATGATCTCATTTTTATAAAAAATATGTGTGTAGAAAAATATCTGGATTGAAGACCTCAATGGCTGAAGGCGAGAGGAAGACAGCCCTGGAAATGGTCCAGGCAGCTGGAACAGATAGACACTGTGTGACATTTGTATTGCACGAGGAAGACCATACCCTAGGAAATTCTCTGCGTTACATGATCATGAAGAACCCGGAAGTGGAATTTTGTGGTTACACTACGACCCATCCTTCAGAGAGCAAAATTAATTTACGCATTCAGACTCGAGGTACCCTTCCAGCTGTTGAGCCATTTCAGAGAGGCCTGAATGAGCTCATGAGTGTCTGCCAACATGTGCTTGACAAGTTTGAGGCCAGCATAAAGGACTATAAGGATCAAAAAGCAAGCAGAAATGAATCCACATTCTAGTCCCTTATGCAGTATACAAGGAGAACTGTCCTATAGGATATTCTCTTCCTGATGGTGCAGAACACAGAATTAGAAGTTTGTGGTTACAGCATACTCTGTCCTTCAGAAAGGCGTGATTCTAGCTGTTGCCCTTCGCAGCTGTTGGAACCTCTGCAAAAACCTCTGTATTCTTCTAATAAATTCCCTCTTTTATTTAAACTAGTTTGACTGGTTTCTGTTCCATGCAACAAAATGGTCCTTGAGGATGACTTTTTTTTCTTTTAATTAAGTCAGCGTTGAAAATGAGGAAACTGAGCATATCAGAGACCTAGACAAGAACTGTGATCATGGGAATTAAAAGGAGTATGTATCCATGTCTGTAGTTGGGGTGGTGGGAGTAAGGGAAGAGACAAAAACCATTACCGCAGTTAGACTGTTGTTAGTTTAAGAAAAGAAGGAAAGGAAATTGGGGTGGGGACTTGACTTCTTGCTAAACTTTTTGGCTTTTAAAGAATTGCATCATTTGCTGTGGTTGGTAGACTGGGCAAGGGTGGGAATAATTTGAAAGAAGTGTGAGAATTCTGGTTTTACATGAGAGTTTTAAGGAGTAAGGCTCCATCTTTGAGGCATTTACAGGAAATATACCAGTTTACTGCTTGATTTTCGGGATGTTGATACTTAGTCATGATCTAAGTAAGGTAAGATGTTTTGATTATGTTACAGAAGGAGAAAATTGGGATGACTAGATAACATTTTCAGTCCTTAGATAGGTATAGCCTACGGTAACATAGAAGAAGCCCTATTTGAGAGAAGGTAAAGCCAAGGAGAAGGAAAATTCCATGTAGGGGAAGTGACTGTTTTGGAAAACACATATCCCATCCACCAGTGCTCTGTGCTTTGGGGCCTTGTTTATGCTATCCCCTCTTCCTGGGCCAGTCTTACTCCTGCCATACTAAGTCAAAGCTTATGTGTCAGGCCCCCCAGCCTAGTTTGGGTACTTCTTTGTGCTTTCATTACACCCTGTGTTTCCTGGCCTTGGTATTTACTATGCTGTTGGTAGTGCTTATTTACCCACTATATCAACTTGCAGGTCAACATGATTCTGGTATCTGGAACACCTGACAGGTAGTGGACACTTAGTAAATACTCTATGAATTCATGTAAGTAGTTATGGCCTGCAGCTTTTCAGTCACTCAATCCTGACCTCTTATACTAGCCTGCTGTAGAGCCTACATTTCCTATACTCAGTCAACTTCTTTAAAGATATTTCCATATTTTTGAGCACTAGTATGTTCCAGGCCTTGGGGATAGATATATAGGGATAGTGGATGAGACAGAGTAAGTCCTGTTCTCATAAAACATGTGTTATTATAAGAGCCCCTTAAAAAAAAACAAAAAAAAAACAAAAAAAAACCAAAAAAAAAAACAACAACATTGTAAGGCTCGCCATAGGACTCATACCTGGGAAGCCAAGGTGGGAGGATCAGTTGAGCCCAGGAGACAAGCCTGGGCAACATAGGGAGTCCGTGTCTCTACAAAAAAATTAAAAAGCTATCCCGGCATGGTGACACATGCCTGTAGTCCCAGCTACTTGGGAAGCTGAGGCAAGAGGATATCTTGAACCCAGGAGGTTGAGGCTGCAATGAGCCATGACCACACCACTGCATTCCATCCTGGGTGACAGAGTGAGACCCTGTCTCAAAAAATATATATAAAATTAAAAACTTGTAATTCTGTGAAAGCAGCAAATGTAGGGTCAAGATAGAAAACATGAGAAAGGAATCTGCTGTAGGCATGGAAGTTAGGAAAGGTGTTCTAGAGATTACAGGAAGGGAGAGAGCTGGCTGTGCAAAGAGAGAAAATGCATTCTGGGGGTGTAGCATGTGCAAAGGTCCTGAAGCAGAAAACTGGTGGCGTGAGGAACTGAAGATATTGAAAGAAGATTTGCATGTTTTTGTAGCACAGTAGACAAGGAGAAGGGCTGGTCCCTCTGGAGTCCATGGCAGGAAGAGACGGGGTAGTAGAGATTTTGGATTTTAAGCACAGTGGGAATGGCATCTTCATTACTTTGATTACAGTGTTGGGGGAGATGAATTATAGGGAGGCTGGAGTAGTAGCAGAGAGAGACACTATAAGGAGTTGAAGTGGCCTAGAAAGGTAGAAGCTAATGATGGAGAAGAGAAGGTAGGTTTGAGGTATATTTTAGAATTGAATTGGCACAGAATTGGTACACCTCAGGAATTGAATGTGGAAGATGAAGAATCAAAGATGACTACTGCCTAGCTTTAGGGCCAATTACTGAAATTGAAAAGCTTAAAATGGAAAATAGATTGGGAGGTGGAAAAGATGATAGGAATCAAAAGTTTCATCTTTGAACATTGTAAGCAGTGGCTATGTGAGTTGGAGATCGTGGAAGAGATCTAAGCTGGAGACAAATTTTGTGAGTCCTTGCCATAAAGATGACAAAAATTGATTAAAAAAAAAAAAAAAATAGAGGGTGGCAAAGAAGTGGGCCCAGAACCAAGCCCTAGGCAACTTCAGTATTTAAAGTTTGGGTCAAAGAAGAGTTTTAAAGATAAGAGTATTTATAAGTTTGGGTCAATGTGATGGTAGGAAAGTGCAAAAGTAGGGTATGGAAGCCAAGGGTTTCAAATAGGGAATAGAAAAATGTCACCTGAAGTTAACATGGAGGTCACTAGGCAGAAGCAGCATTAGTTTACTACCTAGGAGGAGTAAACATTACCACTCATACAGAGGAATGGCTTAGTTTGGTTTTCCAATAAAAGAAGCACATGAAGACATTGGAAGAGGTGAGTTTAGGCGGAAGCAGGGATGTCATAGGGCAAGGATACAGAATATTCTCTTATGGTGATAGTAAGAAATTCTGGAAAGTCAATGTTTAAGGGCATTAGCCTTTGAAGATAAAA